CAATCTCTACCTATCTTTAGCAACCTCTTAGCCTTTCAGTCTCCTAAATGAAACTTCCCTTCTATCCAGGTTGGTTTACTCACTGACCTCAAAATATGCTTTATTTATTTTCTTCTATTTCTGTTTAGGCTTTACCCATCCCTGAACCTGGCTCTAGCCAAAGGCTTGTCCATTCTACAAGACAAACATTAAGTTCTACCTCCTTTTAATTGACTACTCTGGTCCTTAGCAGTGGTTCCATTCCTTGAACGTTTCTAGCAAAGGCTCTCTTCCGAATTTCCATGCCCTCCCACTAACATATATGTATATGCTCATCATACTACCTAAACATCTGCATCTTTGCTCTGAGATTTAGCTTTCATATAAGACCATCATGTGTCTACTAGACTGTAAATTCCACAAAGGGATAGATTTCTTGTAATCAAGAGAGAATAGGGTAAGGATATAGCACTTTAGTCTCAGATATATTTGATACATGAAGGAAGGAATAAATCAGAAAACTGTTAGCAAGAGTCTCAGGGTTGAGCTTAAAGTACACAAGTCTGAAAAGGCTTAAATGCTTGGACTTAATGGGGCTTTTTGTTTTCAGATTCTCACCTTAATATGCCCTCAACTCTAACAGCAAACTATAAAAACTTTCCACTGTAGATTGTGTTAGTCATCTAATATGCCTCAAATCCTTCAGGGAATAAGGTGTGATATAACAAATTAAAGGTCACGGAAAAGCAGTCAACTTCTTAAGCATAACACCTATAGTGGGAGGTAGTTTATGGTGTAGTAAAATTAATAGACCTGGGTTAAAATCCTTTGAAACTTACTGGCATTCAAACTTGGGCAAGTCTTTAACCTCTTTGGGACAATTTCTTCATCTAATAATGTGGACTAAACACCTACCACTCAGGGGTGCTGTGAAGATTAAATGAGTTAATGTTTACACATATAAAGTAACTAGCATATTGCCAGAAAGACAAAACTGCCTTAATTATTCATTGCTAAAACACTGTATAAATATGTCATTCTTTGCAAGGTCTTTAGAAAAAGAAAAGAGATTCTCATCCCTCTTTAAAGATGATGCAACAGGAGTAACTTACTGAAACCTCTTAAGGCCTCAGGCCTACAGACAGGTATCCAAAGTACAATGGAGTCGTTTTATGGCTAATCTCTACCTGGTACAGCTATTATTAGAGTCCTGGCACACTTTTTAAAGTAACTTAAGTCTTAACACTCATTATCAGGCTCTCAATTTGATAAAAGACAAGTGACAGCCTTACAGAGTATAATTAAGCTATACTCCCATTGAAAGAATAGACAGCATTCCATAAAGAATAAAAGGTGAACTGTCCAACCTTTAAAAGTATTTGAGATTTTTGACCACTGCCTCTGAAATTCTTCAGCTCATTCAGTGATACATGTATAGTTTCGACATTTGTCCCCTCCAAATCTTATATTGCAATTGATCTGCAAAGTTAGAGATGGGGCCTAGTGGGAGTATTTGGGTCATGGGGGCAGATCCCTTATAAACAGCTTGGTGTCCTCTCCATGGTAATAAGAGTTTTTGTTTTATTAATTTACACAAGAGGGCTCAGTGCCTGTGACTCAAGCAGCTAAGGGGCCAGCCATATACACCGGAGCTGGCGGGTTCGAATCCAGCCTGGTCCGACAAACAACAATGACGGCTGCAACCAAAAAATAGCTAGGCACTGTGGCTAGCACCTGTAGTCCCAGCTACCTGGGAGGGGGAGACAGGAGAATTGCTTGAGCCCAGGAGTTGGACATTGCTGTGAGCTATGATGCCACAGCACTCTACCCAGGGGGACAGCTTAAGGCTCTATCTCAAAATAATAATAATAATAATGACAATAATAATTTATACGAGAGCTGGTTGTTTAAAAGAACCTGGGCAAATGCTCTTGACTCCCTTGCTCCTTCTCTCTGCAAAGGACATGCCTACTCTCCCTTTGTCTTCTGTGGTAAGTAAAAGCTTCCTGAGGCCTTCACCAGAAGCAGATACTGATGTCATCCTTCTTGTACAGCCCCCAGAACCATGAGATAAATAAACCTCCTTTTCTTTATAAATTACCCAGGCTCAAGTATTCCTTTATAGCAATACAAAATGGACTAAAACAATTAATTAGTCCAAAATAGGAACCATAAAATAACATGTGGAGTAGACCAAAGAATCATAAACTCTTGTAAGTAGAAGGACCTCTAAAGTCATCTAGCCCATTCTCTCTCCTTATACAGCTGAAAAAGTAGACACAAGAGAGATGCCAAGCTATATGTCAAGCTTCTTGTTGCCTCCTCACTTTATTACCATAATTTTCCCAAATTGCATTATTTCCCTTGCAGGAAGCAGATTTAGGGAGAACACATTCATCTGCTTTATATCTGGAGCCCAAACACTGGAAATAGCCAAGACTTCTTGTTCTTGACAGAATGCTAGCCCAAAAGGCCAACAGTACACACATTCTTGCATTTACCTGACTAACCTATAAAGGCAAAAAATGACAATGCTGCCTACAAAAAGAAATGCATACTTAGCAGTCTTTTCATATTTCTTCTATAGAAAGAAAAATTCCTATGGGACTACCAAAATTCTGTAAACATTTCCAGTGGTGATAATTGATTTCTTCCCTATATATTTTTATGATATCAGCCCTGAAGAAAAGCTGAATTAAACTCAGAGATCCAGAGTATCACATACCAGGAAACCAGCTATGGGGAGTGATATTCAGGAACAACTTGAAATCATTCCTTGTTCACTGAACCAATCAAATTTCAAATGACTGTTTTTAATCCAATTTCAATCCTAAATTTGTGGCTCCACTTTCCAAGTAAATTCATTGACTTATATAATTAAGACATGAAAATGCTTAGAAAAATTCAAGAAGTGACTTAGTGAATACATCTATTCATTCTGGATAAATACATACACAATACAGAAATTAAACCACTTTTGGGTGAAATACCTTATCTGGATATAAGCATTTCTCTTAATTAGTCCTGTGAAGTTTGCCAGAATGCCAGTGTTTTAGAAAAACCCTAATACTAGGAACTTTAAGTCTGTAAGACCAACCGGCTTAGAAATGTTAGTGAATCAAGGTGAGCTGAACAGTAGGCAACACTGTTAAGTCAATGCTAACAAAGATGAAGTAGTATTATAGTGAATTTTAAAAATATTTAGTGTTATAACAAGAAAGATAGTATCAGGGTTCTGTTCTTTTCTGATGAGGATACTCTGGAAACACCATAGTTGCCACAGTGAAAGGACGATATCAAAATACATTAAATTCTTAAGCAAAGGAAAAAATCAACCTCAAACAACATCACAAGAGGTAATACAATAACTGGGGATATTTAAGCTAAAGAAGGAAGAGGCAGAACTGAAGTACAACTAGACGCCTTTAAAAACTCACAGAGCTATCAGAAAAGGAAGGAGCACTGTTATAGTTGGCCCTAAGAAAAGAACAAGTCCGTGAAAAGTACAGAAAAACAGATTTTAGTTTAAAAATAACTTCCCTATTAGCATTAAAGTCAATAAATATTAAGAATGTGACGGGCTGGTGCCTGTGGCTCAAAGGAGTAGGGCGCCAGCCTCATATACTGGAGGTCCTGGGTTCAAACCCAGCCCCGGCCAAAAACTGCAAAAAGAAAAAAAGAAATTGTTAAAGTATGTGAGAAAGTGAAATTTATATAAGAAAGAAAAAAAAATGAATACAAAAAACTTGGGCAATCTGAATTAGCCTTTAACAAAGTTTAGCAGCTAATATGGAGAGCATGACACTAATTCACAAAGATTAACAATTAAGTCATATTCTCATAAATAAAACCAACTTTCAATATTTTATAACAGAAAGGAAAACACAAAGTATGGATAATTTGAAAAGCCATATTTTATAAAGAATAACCTATCAGTGATGATTAAGCTATAGTAAAATTGCAGATGACAAAAGGTGACGAACTGTTTAGGCAGTGGTGATGGGAACACAAAGGAGGTGGAAAAATTCAGAAATATTTCAGAGATAGAGCTCATAATACTTGATTACTTATTAGACATTCTTAGAATACAGAATTCAGCAGGACTTACTGTATGTCAGTCTTGCCATTCATCCATTAACAATAACAATCATTGCAAACACATATCGCTTATGGTGTGTCAGGCAATGTTCTAAATATTTTACACAGATAAATTCATTACCTTCTCATATCTCTATGAAGTGTATTGTATAACCATCCCCATTTTACAGATGATAAACTAAGGCTTACATCAGCTTAATAAATATCATAGAACTAGTAGAGGTTAGATATTAGATTTAGACGTAGGTAGTTTAATTTCACAGGTAAAGTTTTTAATTGATGAACAGCTGTAAAGGAAAGCCAACAAAGTTCAAAGCAGGCAGTGTGTACTAACGTCAAGAGCCCAGTTTAGTGAAAATCGTCAAGGAATAGGACAGCAGGGGTTAAGTGAAGGGGTGAGGTTTTGGTTATATCAGAATCTCGTGATAAATAAAAAATAAAAACCCGTTTTGAATCCAAATCCCTTGAGATGGGATCTAAGAATTAACATTTTAACGTTTTGAATTTCCCAGAAAAAAAAGAGAGAGGGAGAGATCTTACCTCCAGGAAACAGTTATGCATTCAGACTCCGCACCGTTTATGCCCCCACTTTTACTAAACGGTCCCTCATAGGACCAGGGATTGAGCAGGCAACCGAAGGGTGTGGTGTCCACCGTATGCTGACTTTAAAGCGGATTGTTTTTCCAGGCTTTTCTAGCACCATTAGCAGAAAGAAACCCTTCCTGACTATAAATGTGTGTTAATCCGACTGCACTAGGGGCTCCTCAAAATATGATGGATACCAACAAATTCTAAGTACTCAAAAGCGCTACAGGAAAACTCCAGCTTGGGGCCTGCTCATTCCAAGGCCAGGTCAATGTGGCTCAGCAGAAGGGTGTCCACAGTTACAACCGCAAGTCCCCTAACTCCCCGCTCGCACATACCTGAGGGTCCTCTGGTAAGATTGATCTCTTCCTCAGTGACCAAATAATCCACTCTTCCGTTCATGTTTTACCGGCCGCCCGGCGTCCTACTGGGGTCAACTGGGGTTCCACACAGGTGAAGGTGAATCAATCTCCGCGCTGCGCCGGAAGCACAGCACTTTCGGTTTCCGGAGCCTCCAGACCGGAAGAGGACGTCGGGCGCGGGGAGCTCTGGGAGTCGTGGTCCCCGCGCCTGCGGGTTGCAGTTTCTCTCCCCGTTCTCAAAGCAAAGTAGCAGGTGAACAGGGAACAAGTTACCATTCAAATTTGCCACTAAAGGCAGGTGGGGAGGTGAAGGTGGGGGAGGCTAGTAACAGCAGGGAACACAAATAAATTGATATTGTCGAGGAAAAATTAAAAAAGTCTCTGGCCATTTCGGTAAATCTCCACAAATGTAGAAAAGAAAAAAAATGTATATTCTATAACCAGACTGGGATGGGCATGACAGGCAGTCCACTAATGAGAGTGTAAAGAGAGACAAAAATGTCACTTTTTATATGTCCAAGCAGATACAGTCTGTTACATACATATTCTAATGTAAGAAAGGATGACAACACCGTTTGCTACTCATTTATTTGTAATTCAGCTGTTGAGTAGCTGTGTTCGTTAATTACCTTTATTCAGAGAAAAAGTAAAACTTCTCATCTCTGTGGCAAGCAGATACTTGCAGTTTGGAACAAGGTACTTAGGCTAACTTCTTTGCTACGGGAAATGGAGGCACTATCTTGATATTTATTTACATTACAAAGAGTTGGATCCCAGGACCTTAAGAAAAAGATTCTTGGGTTGTATCTAAGAAGAGGCAAATTTAGCTTTTATTTTTTTAAATTATTTTTTAAATAATTGTACATTGATGCATTTATGGGGTTCAGGTTCTGCTTCGATATACAATGTGAAATGTTTACATTGAACTAAGTAACACATCCATCACAATTATATTCATTTATTAATAGTTTTGAAACATACCATTGCATCATGCACATTAGATGAGGTCCCCCAAAATACCCTCCCTCCTCCCATGTTCCCCCTCCCCTCTCTCTCCTCTTCCCTTCTACTTTCTAGACTATGGTTATGTTTTGGCATTTGTGTGAGTGTTTAAGTGGTTATATATTGATTTCATAGTAGTATTGAGTACATAGGGTACTTTCTTTTTCATTCTTGAGATACTTTACTAAGAAAAATATGTTCCAGCTCCATCCAGGTAAACGTAAAAGATGTGAAGTCTCCATCTTTTTTATGGCTGCATAGCATTCCATGGTGTACATATACTACAATTTGTTAAACCATTCATGGGTCGATGGGCACTTGGGATGTTTCCATGTCTTGGCTATTATGAATTGGGCTGCAATAAACATACTGGTGCAAATGTCTTTGTTGTAAAATAATTTTTGATCATCTGGGTGGTATATACCTAGTAGAGGAATTGCAGGATGGAATGGTAGGTCTACTTTCAGTTCCTTGAGTGTTCCCCAAACTTCTTTCCAAAAAGGTCATATTAGTTTGCATTCCCACCAGCAGTGTAGAAGCTTCTTTCCGCATCCATGCCAACATCTGTAGTTTTGGGATTTTGTGATGTGGGCTAATCTTACTGGAGTTAGATCTTATCTCAAAGTGGTTTTGATTTGCGTTTCTCTGATGATTAAGGATGATGAGCATTTCTTTATGTGTTTGTAGGCCATGCGCCTATCCTCATCAGAGAAGTTACTGTTCAAGTCTCTTGCCCACATAGAAATGGGGTTATCTATTCTTTTCTTATTGATTAGTTTAAGTTCTCTGTAGATTCTTGTTATCAGACCTTTGTCAGAAGCATAACCTGTAAAAATCTCCCATTTTGAAGGTTGTCTGCTTGCTGTACTTGCTGTGCACTTGGCTGTGCAAAAGCTTTTTAGTTTGAGCAGATCCCAGTAATGTATTTTTGGCATTGCTTTAATTGCCCAGGGGGATCCTCCTCAAAAAATATTCTCCCAGGACAATTTCTTCAAGTGTTTTCCCTTACTCTCTTCTAGTATTTTTATAGTTTCATGTCTTAAGTTTAAATCTTTTATCCAGTGAGTATCAATTTTTGTTAATGGTGAAAGGTGGGGGTCCAGTTTCAGTCTTCTACAGGTCACCAGCCAGTTCACCCAGCACCATTTGTTAAATAGGGAGTCTTTCCCCCACTGAATATTTTTTATAGGCTTGTTGAAGATCAAATGATGATAAGCACCTGGGTACATCTCTTGGTTCTCTATTCTGTTCCATAAATCCACCGCTCTGTTTTTGTGCCAATACCATGTTGTTTTGATCACTATATATTTATAGCATAGCCTGAAGTCTGGTAATGTGATACCTCCTGATTTGTTCTTATTTCTGAGTAATGTATTTGCTATTTGGGTTTTTTTTTCTGATTCCATATAAAACGAAGTACTATTTTTTTCAAGTACTTTTAAAGTATGACAATGGTGCTTTAACAGGGATTGCATTAAATCTGTAGATTGCTTAGGGTAGTATGAACATTTTAACAATGTTGATTCTACTCAGCCAGGAGCATGATATGTTTTTCCATTTGTTAACACCTTCAGCTATTTCTTTTCTCAGAGTTTCATAGTTCTCTTTATAGAGATCTTTCACATCCTTTGTTAGGTAAATTCCCAGATATTTCATTTTCTTTGGCACTATTGTAAAAGGAATAGAGTCCTTGATTGTTTTTTTCAGCTTGGCTGTTGTTGGCGTATACAAAAACTACTGACTTGTAAGTATTAACTTTGGATCCTGAGGTGCTGCTGTATTCCTTGATCACTTCTAAGAGTTTTGAAGTTGAGTCCCTGGGATTTTCCAGATATAGGATCATGTCATCTTTGAAGAGTGAGAGTTTGATCTCCTCTGACCCTATTTGGATACCCTTGATCACCTTCTCTTGCCTGATTGCGATGGCTAAGACTTCCATTAATATGTTGAATAGCAGTGGAAACAGTGGGAATCCTTGCCTCATTCCTGACCTGAGTGGAAATGTTTTCAATTTTATACCATTCAATATGATAGTGGCTGTGGGTGTCCTCTATCAGTTTAAGAAATGTCCCTTCTATGCCTATTTTCTTGAGAATTCTGATCATGAAATGTTGCCGTTAGGGTCTCATGGAGAAGTGATGTCACAGACAATAGACTTGCATATTGAAATTGTATATTTAAATAAAGGGGTTCACAGCTCTCTCAGGCATTTGACAAGTTTCTTTTTTTCTCTCCTGGCTTATATAGTCCATTGAATATTCATTATAATCCCTCTGCACATGTGCACTGTACATTAATGACTTCATTAATATTCATTAGAATCCATAATCAATCTCATGAATAAACATCTTGTGACTATCTTATGAGTAGCTCCTCCTTCTTTTGTTCTTATCTGATGAAGCCTGAGGCTTGGAGGAGAAAGGTGGATTGAATACCTGTCCTGTTGGCTTCAGCGTTTGGAGGCAGGTACTTTAATTTTAAGCAAGGCATAATTAATAAATTTCTAAGACATACAGAAAACTTGTTTGCAAACTTCTGCTCCCATGTGGGCCTTAAGTTAGGGGGTTTTTATGCCTGCAACAGACCATGCTGACCTTAGGTCAGGGGGGTTTTATGCCCGCAACCAACCTGACCATATGGGATTCTGCCTCAGTTTCTCACAGGTATGCCTGCACAAAGTCTTTTCACTGCTCTCTCTCAAACAGCTTTTTTGGCCAGAAGCATATAGGCCTTTAGCCTATAATGAAAGGATGCCAGATTTTACAAAGGACTTTTTCTGCGTCAATTGAGAGAATCATATGGTCTTTGTTTTTTATTTTATTGATGTGATGTATGATATTTATAGATTTGTGTATGTTGAACCAACCCTGTAACCCTGGAATAAAACCAACTTGATCATGGTGTATAAGTTGTTTCATGTGTTGTTGAATTCTATTTGCTAAGATCTTATTGAACATTTTTGCATCAATATTCATTAATGATATTGGTCTATAATTTTCTTTGTTGGCTCCTTCCTGGTTTGAGTATGGAATAGGATGATATTTGCTTCATAGGATGCGTTGGGAAGTATTCCTTCTTTTTCTATGCTTTTATAATATAGGTACTAGTTCCTCTTGAAAGGTTTAATAGAAATTGGATGTGAAGCCATCTGGTCCTGAACTTTTCTTTTTAGGGAGATTTCGTATTGTTGATGCTATATATCAGTGGTTTATATAGGTCTATTCAAGATTTCTAATTCTTTCTGGTTGAGTCTAGGAAGGCAGCATGCTTCCAGGTATTGGTCCATTTCCTTCAGACTTTCACATTTCTAGGAATAGAAATTTTTGTAGTAATCATTGAGGATTTTTTTAAATTTCTGAAGTGTCTGTTGTTATTTCTCCTTTGTCATTTCTGATAGATGATATTAGAGATTTTACTTTTCTATTTCTGGTTAGGTTGGCCAGAGGTTTATCAATGTTGTTAATCTTTTGACAAATCCAACTTTTTGTTTTATTGATCTTCTGAATGATTCTTTTGTTTTCAATTTCATTTAATTCTGCCCTAATTTTAGTTATTTCTTATCTTCTGCTGGGTTCTTCCTTGTCCAGTTGCTTTAGATGATTCATTAAGTTGTTGGCTTCCTCTCTTTCTGTTTTCTTGATGAAGACTTCCAAAGCTATAAATTTCCCTCTTAGGACTGCCTTTGCAGTATCCCACAGGTTTCGATAAATTGTGTCTTCTTTTTCATGTAGTTCCAGAAATTTGGTGATTTCCTTCTTAATCTCATCTTTGACACAGCTATCAGTCATCTTAAGATTATTTAGCTTCCATGACTTTGTTTGAATATGAAGATTCCTGTTGCTATTGAGTTCAACTTTTATTCCATGGTGATCTGAGAAGATACGAGGAATAATTTCTATACTTTTAAATTTGCTGAGGTTAGACTTGTGTCCTAGGATATGATCTGTTTTGGAGGATGATCCACGGGCTGATGAGCAGACTGTATATTCTGTTTTGCTAGGGTGAAATGTTCTGAAGAGGTCTGTAAAGTCCATTTGTTCTAGGGTCAGGTTTAAGTCTAATATTTCCTTGTTTAGTTTCTTCTTGGAGGATCTATCCAAAACTGTCAAAGGGGTGTTAAAATCTCCAGCTATTGGCTAGGTGCCTGTGGCTCAAGTGGCTAAGGC